CCCCCCGTCCTCCCTCGCCCCTTCATAGGAAGTGCTTATGCATTCCTAAGAGTATTTCAAGCGGTCGAAGCCAGACACTCCCCGATCACGTGTTTTCACGTTTGTCATTTCAAGTTTTTGCTTGATTTACAGCCATATTTGTGCTAAATCGGCAGGAGATGGATTTTTATTACGCATTTTGTGCTGCAACAGTTGTACAAACCGCATATTGTCGAGGTCCTGTGTAGTTTTGTGCCCGGAGTCCATTTTGTTTCGGGGTTTCAACTCGGGAACCGCAGAAGCTAGAAAGCTGAAATTTTAGTAGAACGTTTCCCGCCTACTTGCGACGACGCATTCTTAAATTCAGCCTTCATGTATCACGTACAACCTCACAAAAGTTTTGGCTGGGAGAATTATTATCTCGGGAACCGCAAAACGTGGGAAGCTGAAATGTTAAGGTATTGTTGCTTGACTTCCTACAGCTCTTACCATTTCGGGAACCACGAAAGCTAGAGGGCTGAAATTTTAGGGTAGTATCCCTTACGTATGTGCGACACCGCGGATTCAAATTCCAGCCTTCCGGTTTTCCTGGATACCCCACATATGGCCTGTTGAAAATTTTGGAGGAAAAACTACAATCTCGGGAGCCACGAAAGCTAGAAGGCTGGAATTTTAAAGTAATGTTCCATGCCCAAGTAAAACCTCGCAAATTCGAGTCTAGCTTGCAAGTAAACCTGAGTCACACGTATGACTCCGCGAAAGTTTTGGCGAGAAGAACCATTACTTCTGGGGCGAAATGAGCTGGGAGGCTGAAAACTACAAGGGGGTGTTTTCTGCTTATGCAGGGGCCTAACAGACTCAAACTTACCTCCCGATTATGAGAAGACTCACGTAAGAGTAGGCGAAATTTTTGGAACGAAAGTTACTCGGAGGTCAAAGAAGTAGGAGATCGAAGTTTTAAAGCAGTGTTTACCGTCCAAATTCCCAAATTCAGCTTTCACGCACGTTTGTGTTCTGCGTACTGGTGCGTGAAATTTTTAATGGAAAGTTCTGCAACTTGGGAACCAAGCAGCATATTGACTATTTTTTCATATATCAGAGTTTTTCGTATACCTCAGGAGGCAGACATTCGCTGCTTGGAACTGCGCAAAACGCATGATCGCACCGGCCACTGTGAGGCACACCGTTTTTCATTTTTTGGTTGTTTTCAGATTTTTAGCTCTTACGAAATTTTCTTAATTTTGTGTCAAAATAAGCATAGAAAGTCGGGCACGGGGCACAGAATTCTGTGCAGTTTGACAGAGTTCGTTAAGCATTTACTGGAATTTGTTAAGCATTATGCCGCAGAAATTGCTGAGGAAGAAGCAAAAAAGATGAAGGAAGAGGAAAAAATCGAGCGCAGTTTGGTACTCGCACCAGGCCAAACATTCGTCACCAAGGTTTTTTTGCGACATTAAATTTAATTTCTGTTATGGCGTGATTGTTTGCTAGATGTGGGTTTCTGGGGTTTCGGGGAAGAGCAACTGAGGCATTTCGTGTCGTTGATGCATTTTACCGCATGCTGTTGTACCATTTTAATCAAATTTGCTTGGGAGGGGTCTGTGGAGAAATATATCAACATCGACGTTATCGGCTAATTTGCTTTAAAGTATGCAAATTCGTGAACCTTACAAAATCATTCGAAGATAACGCTGTTACTTCTCGAAATTTTCTGCCCGCGAATATTTCTGTTTAATTATATCCAAGCTCAGCTCATATCTGGTGAAGGTCTCTAGGAGGGTCATGTGAGAGAGATGCTAGTAGATAAGCTGAAAGAACAGCATTAGTAATTACTCTATAAAGGAAGTATGAAAAAGTCAGGGATATACGCATCAGGGTCACTAACAGCAGCAGCAGCAGTAGCAGTAGCAGCAGCAGTAGCAGCAGTAGCAGTAGCAGTAGCAGCAGTAGCAGCAGCAGTGGCAGCAGTAGGCAGTCCGCCGAGCAGCTTCGCCTAGAGCAACCACGGATGTTGAGGCCCAAAGGTGCGATGCACTGGAGCAGCAATCAGACTTTTTGATTTTCAAAAAGTTTTTTTTTCCTGGTTAATCACATTATGGTGGTTCCAGTAAACTCGTTGAAACTTGTTTTTGCTTGGAATAGTCTTTTGTGTTCTTGTTAGGTCCATGCTCAAATCTCACTACAGTATTTGCAGTACGATTTTGCAATCTCTTAATAATACTGGATGAAATTTAAGACATCTCCGTTTCGGTTTAGCCCTTTTATTTTCATAAAATATTCTCCCATGGTTCACGCTCTTGCTTTTGTTGACTTTTTCTAACTTGCTAATTCCTTCAAATTCCTGATAGTTACCAAAGTGTGTTCGTAAAGATTTATCTCTCGAACGCACTCAATTATTGCAATTTGCGCATGGATTAGTGTCGCAGCACTGTACGGGGCTTGTTCAGACACCTCCAACTTAATATGTTCAAGTCCAAAAAGTTTTAAAAAAGCCGGTAATATGTCCCGCTTCGTCAGCATGAGGGTGCTGTTTTTACACACGTTGACGCCTCGTGCTTCGTACGGCTGAAGCTAAATTTTATACCTGCTCTCGACCCAGTCGGGTGGATGGAAGATGATGAAATGGTTAGAATTTGAGGAATTAGCCACTTTTGACGTTGGTTTTAAATAAACAGCAACGAGAAATTCATTGAGATTCTGGGTGATACACTGCAACACAGTTCACTTCAGGAGGAAATGGAAATCGAAAGAAGTGCGGGCTTTGATGAAAATGTCGAAATTACTGAAGACAGAAATGAACCGGAAGAGAACCCTGCTGGTAATAGTTATGGAAAAACAGTGTGGTATAATAAGGAAGCACACTCACTCGGTTCTGTGTTTA